TCAATCACACACTCTACGTCCAAGAGTGGTTGCCCTTTGGTGCCAAAGTTCCTGTGGCAGTGGGGCTGATCAACACGCTGGTTTGTTATTCAGAGCTCTGTTTCTCTTGGAGATATAAAGTGTTTCCAAGTCTCTAAAATGGCTATTTGACTCTTCTTCAGTCACACATTATGCTACCTAATGCGAGCTAACATTTTCTTTCCAAATAATTTCCTTCCTACAAGAGTGGTTGCCCTTTGGTGCCAAAGTTCCTGTGGCAGTGGGGCTGATCAACACGCTGGTTTGTTATTCAGAGCTCTGTTTCTCTTGGAGATATAAAGTGTTTCCAAGTCTCTAAAATGGCTATTTGACTCTTCTTCAGTCACACATTATGCTACCTAATGCGAGCTAACATTTTCTTTCCAAATAATTTCCTTCCTACATATTGCTGACATGGAAGATAACACAAGTTTTATGTGGTGCCCTGTTTATTTTCACTGCGTATTGTGTTACTTCTCCAAGAGTTGTAATAACTTAAATATACTTGTTCAACAAGCCCAAAGTTATGGAGCTATTTGCATTCAGCACAGGGAATAAGCAGCCTGTGTGTAGAAAATGAGAAATCTGATTTAGCAGCAAGCTGAAAATGGGGAGGTTAAGAAAATAGCTTGTCACCCACCAAGTTATTTTAAAGTGCATGAGTACATAGCTGGGGAATGCAGAAAATTATTATATCAGCCAGGGCTTCAAACTCTACCAGTCTGATGTGGTGGGGAAGAGATGGGGAAGTTTTGAAGTAGCCTACCTATGTCTGAAGGGCATTTTGTTGACTGAAAGACTGAACACAATTAGTCAAACTAGACTTGATTTTGCTCTTTTCTTCTGTCTCCCCCTCTGAGCCTTATTTTACACCCTTTGTATCAAATGTCTCAGTTTCTGTCTCGTCCCTGTTTGCTAAATGGGTACCAGCACATGAAACATCAGCGTGCCCCAGAGCAGAGCTGTGTTTTCTCTGATGCCAGTTTTGATTTGGTCTGGTCTATGTGCCACGTTTCCCACAACATGCCACTGTAACAGTGATGGGAGGTTTGTAACTCTTCAGCAGGTCTCTTCAGGACAAACTTCCAGAGGTAAATTTTGCGTGAGCAAACAGTTACACAAACCAGCAACATTTCTGCACACAAATGAGGGATTTCCGTATGCAAACAGAGCAGCAGCTGGTTACCTATTTCATGCAAAGGCCTTGTCTTCAGGCTGAGCAGAAGTTCTGCAGCCTGTCGTCCTCACAAGGTACTTGCCACTTGCACTGAACAAGAGCTTTTGTGTTCATGGGGTGAAATAAGGGAATGCTCAACCTCTGTATCTATTCTCCTGTTCTTTCTCATGATCTCAACAGCCCCATGAGATCCCCAGATCACCATAGTCCTGCAACAGCCACTATGATAGGTGGGATGAACATTGTCATATTTCTAGAAGCACATGTTGATGTAATTGGGGAATGACCCCCTTGCCAGAAAGTACCTGCTTTGCATATGTCTCAGCATGTGCATACATTAATACACAGAATGGGTTGGGGTTTTTTTGCAAAAAGCTTGTCAGGTTGTCCTTAGCAGCAGCTGGTGACTCTGCAAGGTCAGTGCCACTATAAAGTCATGTAAATGCTGCGTTGCCATCCCTCATCCTTCTGCCTGTGCTGAAGATGCTTCACATACATAAGCAGAGCACAGGTCACTCCAGCCACCCCTTGCCTATTAAGGCAGCCCCATGCAGCCCTCGGCCACAGCTGAGGCTTCACAGTTTTCTTCCCAGTCAAGAGAGCTAAAAAACTATTTTTAAAAGAAAGCTCAGGTTCCCAGGCAGCCACTTGACAGGAAAGGCAGCTTTATAAAAAACACCAAGCACTTAGAGTCTAGACTGTATTATTCAAAACACCAGTCAGGTGCTGTCTCTGATTGAGCCCCAGACCATCCCTCAAGTGCTTTGGCCTGAATCAAGGAGGGGTTTCTCGAGCCCCTATCTAGCCCAGCAGGGTATAACTAACAAGATCACACTTTTGCCAAGTGATCTCTTCTTTTAAGGTGAAGGCTAGCTGGAGCATAGCTCCAGTAGGGCCAACACGGTGGAATAATTCCATAAACACATACAAAAGTGCTGCCTGACACATATAAGATAGATGCCCCCAACTAAAAGTTTACAGCCTTAATTCTATCTCCCAAATACTAGTGCTCTTCTTCTAAAACTCTGACAGATATTAACAGAAATTACCTTATCTCCAGATGGACTAAAGCCCAAACAGGATTTTAAAGAAGGCTTATTAACACTGAAAACACCCTTTCCTGTTCTAGGGACTGAGTCTGAAACAAAAGAAGGCTCAATGAACTTCTTTAATTGGTTATTAGAAACCTTAGGGTGAAAAATGCTCATTAATAAATAGATCTGCTTTTCTCTAAGAAGAGCTCAGCTGTGGAAATACTTTCCACACATGCCCTCCCTCCTCTCCCCTTGTCATATATATCTGGGAAATTGCCTGGCAGGAGAGGTCAGGTTTATGAACTGTAAATGTTCAGATCCTTCTTCTTGTCATTCGCTATGAACATCTCCTACTTTGAATGCTTTGGTTCAGGCATCAAAGAGAGGCGTGGGGAGGTGCCTGGTCAGATAAAACATCTTCACAGCACAGGAATCTTATCCAAGGATCTTGAAAAGATCAGGAGAGGACCACAGCAAATAATTTACATAGGCTGCTTCTTGGGGGTTGCTGTTTTACCTTTTAATTCAAGTTTTGTCTCAATGTCCTTTATCTGAATGATCCCCTTCTGCACTGCCAGTGCAATCACAAACCAGAATTTTCCCTAGACTGATGCTGAGGAAGAGACATTTTACACAACACCTTTTTAATTATCACATGGAGTAAAAAAGGTAAGTAAGAAAATAATGCAGATACTAAAAACCTGTGAGGCTTCGTGGAGAGCCAAAGCCTCACTGTGGCCCCTCTGGGGGAACAGCCAAGTCCCCAGGGCCCCCCTGTTTCTGCCAACCAGTGGTACACAGGCTCCTCCACCTTCCCAAGCCACTGCCCCATCCCTGAGTGCCATCACCCTGAACAGGGGAGTGTGCACTGATCCCAGCTCCTCTCAGGCTGCACAGAGTGCTGACATTGCTGCTCCTCTTGTGCAAAATAAGTAGAAGCAGCTGCAAAGTGGGGAGGCTCCCACCCGCCTGTCCCTGGGGGAGGCAGTTGTTGCTCTAACAGAGAGCCCTTGTGCAGGAGCCTCTCCCACCGATGGTGCTTCCAAGAACAGCCTAAAGCAGCCAAGCATCAGCCCCCACAAAGCTCTTCATGGGACTCCCAGGTCCACCCTTGGTGCTAAGGCCCCAACAGGTGAAAATCAAGCCCTGCGTGGGGAAGGCATAACTGGCAACTCCTTCGTGGGCCAAAAACGGCACCACCACCTCTGCACAGGACCTACATGAGCAGTGGACACAGCTCCAGTCACACTGTGTCCCTTTTCCCAGGTCCTGCCTACAAGCATCACTGCTCAACCCCCGTCCCTGCCAGCAACAGGGCAGCAAGCTGGTGCCTCATGCCCCTGTGCAGCCACGTGGCGAGTGAGCAGCTTTATTTAGAACATTTAATGACACAAATTGAACCTCCACCCTCCCAGCTCCCATAATAGGCACCATCCAAACGTGATAAAAATAGGCAAGTGTGGGAAATAAAGCTGGTTAGCAGCTCGAAAATGAACAGCTAATTTTAAAAAGTTTTCATGCTTAGCAAAATGATTCAAGGAACGACCGGAGTGGAAAAGCCTATTCTTTGCAGAGAATGGTGTAACTGTGAATGTCTCCAAATTCTACAGGACTGTGGCTCAAAACAGGTATTTCACACACAGACTCTGAAGTCTGGGGACAGACCTGCCCAACCATTTCATCTCCCAAACCACTCTCACCACTGTGTTTTCACCATGGCAAATCTTTGTTGAGCTAGTTCGGGTAAACTCCATTTCTGGTTGCCTCTGCTTGAAGCTGCTACAACGGCCTGATGATCCCAAAGTGCTGCATCTCTGCCTGGGGGCCAAATCTGAAGAGCTAGGGGGAATTTTGCTTGAGTGCTGGGAGTGCTGTCCTGGGACAGTCCCTGTGAGCAGCACCCAGCTCTTCGCTGGCTCCTGGGCATGGGCTGGATCCAGATCCCACTACTCTGGGTATCTGTGCATGGACACTCTACAGGGATGTGCTGGTTTGAGTGCTTTCCTCATCAGAAGGTGGGCACAGGCCCTTGGGTGGCAGCCTGTGAAAGCAAAGCTACACCACCATAGTGCTCAGCCCCAGCACCTCCCTGCTCTGTTTTGCCAGCAGAATATCCAGCTTTGGGCCATCCCACCTCAAATTCACCAGTGCTGGTTTCTCAAGACGCTTTATGGC